TGTCAGTTGTTAATTGTTATATCACTGGGTAAGAACCAATGAGAATGCAGCATTTGGAAAAAGTTGAAAGTAAAGATGATTGTAAACACATAATTTTCCTCGAATTCAACGAATTTAAGCAGTTAACAGCACAAAAGAATGATCTTGATCCACTGAATGTTCTGAGAGTGTAAAGATCAAGATCCATTCATTAGAAAAGGAGCTACGAGAATTCGAATTGCTTGAGTGAATGTGTCCTATAAAAAATGTACAGAAAAAAAATTGAACAAAAGAATCGCGTTGACGAGAGTTGAGTAAATTCCAATGATTGATGAAATCTGCGTCTAAATACCTTTTATTTAAAAAAAAAAGAAGGAAATCGGCTGGATAGAACGGCCAGGTTGACTGACTTTAGTTCTCATACATTTTTTAATATATAAGATAGCAAAATATAAATAGCTTAAAGTAAATTTATTGAATTTATAATATTATATAAATAACATATATTACATTATACAACGATACTATAGAAACCAGATTATCTAATTCGAATAAATATCTAAACATTTGACATTCTGAAGTTAAATTTCGTATTCTCAGTGTTTTCTCTTCATACCCGATTACGCGACATATTTTGTACTTATATTTCATATTACATTACGCGATTTACCGCTTTATACCAGCATTATATTACAAGATGTTGTTGCTTTTTGTTATCGTGACGATTCTGCATCTACTTTTGAACTTCTGGAGCCAACCTGCACGTAACTAAAATCACAAGATTATTATGACGATGGTTTACCAGGAAAATAAGAAATAACTACGTACACACGGTGTAACTGTTTCAGAGATCGCCGAACCCGTAGAATTTCCGACGATCGGAGATCAGCAACGATGCAACGAGGACAAGTGCAGCATTCGCGAAGATGAACAAGGAGGAAGTGATTCGGCGGCGGTCGCATTTTCGTATATTCTTCCCGTGGAATCGGCTTGTTCCGAAACCCTGCGGATGTATTGGGTAACTTTACGATCTCGTTTAATAAATTTATGTTAATTTTTTTCATCTATTG